TTCTCTTTCTGGGGCAAAACTGCACAAATTTCATCACACATGTTGTTATAAATGAATCGAATTTTCAATTTTCTATCCACCGATACCAATGTTATGTCTTGACCACCCCCCTGTGCTGGGTTTATGTCGATTAACGATAATTTTTCAAATTTCATAGACAACAAAATACTGAGTATCTATTACATGACACCTGACTTGAAAGCTGGATCCGTCCCTGCTGATGGCAGGGTTTTTCACCTGCTCTTGTACCTTCTTCTTTGGAGCCGCACCTTTTCGTTATTAGATTAACGGCTGTACTAAATAGTCTTAATTGAAGATGCTTTTAGGAATAGTTCAAGTCTGCACCAATCATTTTGCTCTTCAGCGGTTTTGCTGTATGGAACCATTTTTGTTTCTGCATTATTTTGGGGCTCTTCTTTTATGGAATCTGGCCCAGGTACCTCAGAGGTGCTGGTACACAAGAGAATTTTTCAGCATTCGTCATTTGTTGCCACAGTTTACAATGAGTTATTTATTGTCATTCCAGCAGAATCACATTAAATTGAACATAATATGTTTGCATCAATTGTTTCAACATAATATGTACGTAACAATTGCGAATAGTCGCAATTTTTCAGACCATTGACCGATTTATTTTTAATTCACGTTTACGAAAACTTAACATTCACCAAGATAATATTTCATTTATAAGCGAACAAAATGCGAATAAAGAATCATTAAAGGTTCACGAATATATACAATATAATTAGAGTAGATACAAGAGGAAAATAGTGATTATGATGACAAATATTCTTTAAACCCTTTAAAACTTTACCAAAGTTGTTTTACTATCACAGTGAAAACTCGCCATAAGATCAAATATTCAAAATTGGCTTTCAGAAACGTCAGTGAGGAGAATATACAGCCGTGGCCTGTATATAAAGTTGGACCCCCTACGAATCTCGTTTGGTTTAATATCCATATCAGCAGGATGCATGGTTATTTAATACGATCTGACAATTTACTCAGTATTTCATTGGAACAGAACAAAGAGGGAAAACCCGATGACATTTACGATTGAGCCAGATTTAGTGCTTAGCTTGGAGCCAAGTAAATTGTATCGAGAAAAAAACATATGAGTTGAGCCTGATTTAGGTATTACATAATCATATTCGTTAACTCAAAAGATGAAGGTGAAGATAAAGGTACTTCAATTTGACGCAAATATCTTAAACACTTGTTGACGATATGTGTTTATTTTTAGGTCAGCTTTTACAAACCCATTTTTAGTTTACTCTTAATCGAATAATAGCATCGAGATCACATAAACTTCCAAAGAAAGTTGACATCACCAACGAACTGTGACGTTATCAAAGAAAAGTTTATTTTGGGAGTTACTATCATAAACTTATAACTGGCACATTCAAATAACATATTTGCGCCAATAGAGGAATTTACGACGATTTGCCAGCTATGCTTTCAAATAAAGTCCATCTTTCTCGTTCAGTTCAAATGGGATTTATAGATAAATGGAACAGAGGAGCTATCGTTAAAAAATATTACTAATAAAATATATGTTTATTTCAGCAATTTTAAAATTCGCTCCATAATAACACCGTGAATGGATTATAATCGTAAAACGACCCTTGGTATGTGTTACATGAAATATGCTCTGCCTTTTCCAAATAAAATCATAAAACCGTATTGAAAGACCTTTCATATTCACAACTTCATTTTTTCCTAATGTAACACAATTTTTCCCATAAAATCTCTGACAAATTTATTATTACATGAACTTAATAATAACCTGACTTAGAAGTCAAATCAATTTGCAGCAGTAGTAATTCTAACAACTTTATGAACGATAGCAAAATAGCCGAGATATTCATTGGATATTTATTTCTAATTTGCTCTGGGAAATACTTAATTATGTGTGCTTTTAATCGGCAATAAAATATCTGAACTTTTACGCCGTTGGAACCGAACTCGGTTATATAAATCAAATAACAGGTTGATCAGCATTTTTACGGCCAACTATACATTCCAGAGAATGCTTTTAACCTTATCTAATGTGGGGCGTCTTTTGATCATTTTTAGAAAAGCCATCAGGAGGGGCCCGATGAAATACGATGACAGCCAAGATCGGCCCCAAAGCAAGTCTGGGGCCAACATGTGATCGGCCATGAGAAAAAAACATGGAAGATGAGGGTAGAAAGAATGTCAGTGGCGTAAGCGAATGGCGGTGCAGAATAACGATTAAACAAAAATCCTTTCCGGCTATTGCTAATAGGATTCTTAATGAAGACCCAAATAAGTTTGAGTCAGGCAAGTGAGTTTACACATACAAATATTTCAGTCTGACAAATAAAAAACAGACATTTATACCAATTACTTATATGACATTAAAGATAATATGTTTCTTGTACAACTTATGTTAACAATCCACCGCAAGCTTATTAGTCAATTTGCATATGATTATATAATTAAAATTGTGCACCAATATACCTACTATGAAAGCAGTTCACTTTATGGCAAAAGTTTCTTTCAAGTTTGAACCCTATTCGGTTTGAATTTTGCGCTTATTAATTAGTGACCTTACATCATAGAACATCCTGTAAATGCTAATAAAGAACAATCTAAACTATTCCGAATCTTTGAAATATAAGAAATCAACCCCTACTAAACGGTATTTAAACTTTAACTCAAATAACCTGATAATGGTAAAAAAGTAGTAGTAAACTGTATGATGTTGGTGCCTATGCGCTGAACAAGTTTAAATGATAGTTCATGTTTGTTGAGATTTTCCTGATAATTATTGTTTTAATGAAATTAATGCTGATGTGCGTGTGTCGCCCAACAAACCAGATGATGCAAGTCTGTTGACAAAATTCATACATTTGTGCCAAAAGATTAGGATACAAAGTAAAGAACAAAAAGCAGAAATAGATGACAGCCGAGATCGTGCTGTTAAGGGACGATCGTCGAAAGCTCAAGAACAAAGCAGTTTGCAACAACGATTCATTAGACCGAACATTAGAATAGCGAGAAACGAATGGCTCAAACGTGAATGCTTCCAACTAGAACAGCTTCAAACCCAAGAGGATCATTTTAAAGCTGGCATCCATAAAAAATGAAGATTAACTGTAACAGTTAATAATAACAACCAGATAGTTCTTGACAGCAAAGAGAAGAACAGTGTTTCGGTAAAGTACATAGAACTTTTTGACGAAGAATAGCCCATCTGGTATCAACCAGTCACTAACCGAACCATCGATCAATAATGACGAGATTGTACGAGCTGTATGAACACAGTCGGATGACACTTCGTTAATTGCATTTTCCTCTTTGTTTTTATTGTTAATTATTAATGAAATCGCATATTTCACTGAACAAAGAAATGTTTTGAAGAGGGTATTATTATTATTATTATTATTATTATGTGTAGCTAGAAAAACATTATAGAAGACATTGATCTAGTATATTCCTTTTCTAGTCTGATGCACAAGTTGATATTTCCTTATTATTTATTTAATTGACTTGATATTTATCATTATATATTTTAAAAATATGCATGTTTCAGATTAAAAATCGCACCATTGTGACATGGGAAAACATAGGGCGTTATCGTCCGGTACCAGAAAACACTATTATATTTGTTTGCCCATCTTTCCCATCCTTGGCACATCATTAAACCAGGCCTAAAAGCTACAGTTGATGGAAACTCTCTTGCATAAATCAGTTTTATGGCTGCCATTCCATACAAAGTGTGTCTTTATATATTCCGGGGTGGAATCTTGTAATCCGATTTAGTCTTTTATTTCTTTATATGAGGGATGGCTTTCACATTGGGAGCTAGAATGTCAGTCACCGAATCTCGATCGCCACTTTATACCGTTAGGCGTGCACTTATTCATAAAATAATCTCTTAAAAAATCAAATAATTCCGGCGCTCGTCCGTGTCAAATTACCTGGATATACAGTGTTGCATAGTTCAAGGAGCAGTTACTAGATAGAGCATTTTCAGTTGTACTTTGACAATGTGAAGCTGCAGTTACTTTTACTTGAATAAATACTTTATAGTAACCAAATCCAGTAATCAACATCTGCTGTAAATTATTTTAATAATAGAACACAGAAAGGCGATTGAAGCTCGTCTAAAATGAAAGCAGAAGTAAGAAAGACAACAAAGAATTGGTGCAGATTGTCTTCAGGCTCATGAATGTGGCCTATGATGGACTAATTAAAGCTGAGAAGAAATTATTCTGAGTTTTCCGCCAAAAACACAGAATCATCCAAGTCATCGAATACGCATGAGTAACTCAGTCAATTTTCAGGAGTTGACGGAGTAACTCATTTGGTAAAACGTTACTCATAAAAAATGTAGTGACCTTTTTTTTTGTTAGGTGTAAAAATTCCAGTCCCGGGTTTACTACACACGGGCAAATTACGACACAGTGAGATGCGATGCGTTGTAACGAAAAACTCAGAAACGAAAAGAACAGAGTTGTGCATTCAGTAAAGAACAGTGCGCTCTGAATGTCGCCAAATTTCTTCAACCCTTCAAAAACTCATTCAAATCACATGAGATCCTGAATTTTGCGCGCTTCTTAAATGTTGATTTGAAAGTGAACGCTTCTACGCAACTGCAGACTCTTCAATAAAAATTCCAACTTCCAAAGTAAAGCCAGTTGAAACTTGAAAGATTGACGTTCTGTAGGTTTCACGGATTTTTTAAATGAAATTGTTGAAAAAAGTTGCACCTAAGTTTCTGATATTCAAATTTCGTGTGACTTTTTGTGACAAATTTACTCATGCACGTTGCTATAACTGAATCGAATTATCAATCCTCTCTCTATTCAATGATATAAAACGACCCCTGTGGCTGAAATGGTACGCGAAAACTAACATTAATAACCGAATTAATTTTGTTTTCCTAAAAGTATTGACTAAACAAAACAACCGTGAATGAATCACTTAAATTGAAACTGTTGCTCAATTTCCGAGCGATGATAGAAACCATCGGAATTTCAACTAATATAATTTCTAAAAGTTCTGATTACAAGAATTATTCCGCCACAGGTTCAATTTGAGGTGCGGCTCCATGAGGCGATATGAGTTATAACTCACCAACTCACAAAGCGGCATCAACTCGAAGGAGCAACTCAACACAGTGTTACCCAGGCCTACCATCAAAGGTTGTCGGTGCTAATCAGTTAATTTGTTCACTAAGTACTAAAAATTAAGAAAAGTGTCAGGTCAAAAATTATAGATATATACCTACCAATATTATTTTCGTATTTTAGATCAGATTGCAATGCAAATAGACCAGTTCAAGAAGGCATGGACCGAATTTCAAGCTGGGAATTGGGAGACAAACGATGGGTATAACATTAGGTACATTGGAGAATGTTCCAAAGTGTTAGAAAAGGACACCCAGATAGCTCACAGATTCACTCTGAGCAAGAAAAAGCAAGTTGAAAGCTCCTAACGGCAAATATACCATCAGAATGTGAGTGGCCTTCGCACCAAGTTGAACTTAATCCTGGGTTGTTCTAATAATGATTGTTGGTGCATAATGTTGGTGCAGAACGCGGGCTGAGAAATACATCTTTTTGGAGGATTTTTTTAAATAGTATTTCTAGAGCTGATAGAGTCGTGCTAATTACAACGCCATACAACACAGGTGGTGTATTGGATGGAAACATATAGAGCAAAAATTCGGCTCTGTTCCTATATGGTCAGAACTGTCTAGACATGAGCCTACAGGGTACTGGCCAATATAAGGACAGCACAGCCAGGTAAGTATAGCACAGAACGTTTTCAAATGAGATAGTGAAGAAGGGCATGGAGCAGATCCAGCAGATAACAGGCTAAGTTATTTATGACATGTATTGTTAATAGGAACCTTTTACATATTTTTTTATTCGTTGACGGATCATAATTTTTTATGAGGCACTGACCACTGCTCGTAGGTCCATGCCTAAAGATGGCTCTGAGTATGAATAATTAATTATAGAGGGTGTCGTTTTCTGAGGCAGCCCGTTCGTAATTTGGGACCATTAAAGTTTCAGATTGGTCATTCGGGGCGTAAGCGGATCGTCCTCGACCACGACGTACGTACTTTGTGGTCCCGGATTTATGTGCACTTTACGACCCCGCGACTGCATTAAAGTCCTGGTTACGAGTGGCCTCGAACAATGTTGCAGTTAACATGGCATATATTATGGAAGAGTGTCCTAAAAAAATGGCCATCATAAGCAAATATATGCCTGACAAATGACTTTCTGGTTATTCACTTTGCCACGATCACGTCCAGTAACCAGTAAACTACTACATCTATGAAAAAGGCAAATAATTACAAATAAACATAAACCTGCTGCCAATTACACAAGAAAATGATTTAAGCTTCGGTTTCTTAAGAGTGGAAACAAAGCAAGCACCTAACAAGAAAACGTATTTATTGAACTCTCTATATAATTTTAATACAGGAATTGAAACATTGTTCATCCTTGACATGAACTTAGATTAAATCTTAAATGGTGTGCATGTTTTTAAGGGTGAAAACTTTGAAATCGGATTTTTTCATTTCGTTACTTTCGCATTACTGGTTCTATGAAATTAAGTTAAAACATAGGTACATAGTTCTTATGATGACAGACACGCTTCTAGGAGGACAATTATATACCGACGGGGTACGGAAATCGAACATTTTTCACAATTATTTAAGAATTAACTGTAGATTTTTGCAGAAAGTTTTTGATCGCAACTAACAGCATATTAATATAAGCAACCTCTCCTTATTTTAACATTAATTTTGTTAATTGAAAGTACTTAACTCCCTCGTTGATAAACTGATAGATAGATTTCCAGTCAGTTGTAGATTTCCAACCACAAAAAGCCGAACATTTTGTAGATGTGTTTGGATTCAAAAGGAATGCTGATCCACGAGAATTTGCAAAATTTTCAATCACCATCTGCCCGACTAATACAATTTATATAATCGTTATTTAAATTAAATTAAAAAGACGATGGTAGATAAATTGTGGCACCATCAACTCCAAATAACTAAAAATGTTCTGTCGATTAGCAAATAGACTTTGAACTTCACCTCTGACTTTAGGTCTCTCCCCACCAGAAGACCACAAGAACTGAAATTCTACCACTTCAACACTATTACCAGCTAAGCCAGCTGGAATTGTGGCTTAACACAAATTTAATGTTTAAAGTGAAGTTTTACACCACTTCGTTTCATCGTTTAATCTTCGCTTAATCTAGGAGTAATTTTTCAGAATTCTGCAAGTACTTCTGTTCGTGTGCCTGAAGATACGTACCAGACAAGAGCCAGTTGCACTTGGATAATGCGCATTAGAGAAAACGGCCGTGATGATAGAAACATCTTTGTAGATGTTTAGGATTCCATCCGGAAGACCAATGCTTGTGCCGGGTCTCCATTCTCAGGAGATGTGACTCATGCATCAAATGTATGATTCCACATCAAGAGGCGGCACCACTATTTATTTTTTCAGTTTGTATTGACTTTTAGGTTGCCGCCCAGTATAACATAGTTTCATTATAACTCTTTATTCACTAGGGATTTCATGCAATGACGGCAACTACCTACTTTCAATCGAATTGTGTATGTAAACAACAAACACGCCTTCGCTTGCATATTAATATCCCCCGTCCTCAGACCCATATATTTAATTAAATAATGGCACCCCTCTTTGTTTATATTAATTTCCTTAAAAGTTCCCTTTCGTAAGCTTTAATGAGGGCACATTTCCTGTGCCGAGCACGTCCGCTCTAATGGCGCCCACCCTTAATTCAAACAAACTTTGGTTGTAAAAATTTGCTCAGTTTACGAAGCATCCCCAAGCCCATAAAGTAGGAAAACCGAAATTATATATTTTTAAGTTTTAATTAAATGCTTGCAATGCAACAAAATGAATAACAAGGTGGATGTTACTAAATTATAGATATCGCAATTTGCACTTAGATATAGGTGCATTAAAATTCTTAATTTATTATAAAAAATCTCTTTTAACATTTTTCTATAATTCAGTTTCACTTATGGCTCTAATTCCTAATATCGTTTAATTCATGTTTGTGTATATGTTTCGTAAGTTTTAGACCACCATACATATGAAGAAATAGATGGGTGTTAAGTTTAATGTAAATTCTGTAAAATTTGCTATTACGTTCCAGTATTCCTGATTAGATAACTGAAGGGTATGGCATAATATATCCGAAAATCCAATAATCGTAAAACAAAGTTAAGGTTGTTCAAACTAAAAGCATCCCGCCCAAAAGCGTGTGGCCATTAAATAATAAGCTGCCTGGCCGTCAGCTCATTTAATGCAAAGTTTAATGTACACGGGCTGTGTGTACGCGGTTTATATGTTTTAATCAATAGACTTATTGTTAAAACATTCTTGAAATTCAAACTAAACCATTTACCGGATGTTATGTTCAAATAGTAATCAGAATAATTATTGTGAATATATTCAGTGTTAGAATGGAAATGTTTCCTGTCATTCAACGTTTAGAGTGACTGGAAAATAAAATATTTCTTTGTAAATTGTGTACTTTATTTTCCACTGATTATAAGAGCTGATTAAAATTATTTTCCTGACAACAAATGAGAGCAACTTGGGTAACTAAAACGCTGTAACAAAAACTCTCAAAACCGCCTCTAGCTGGTTGTAGTTACAGTATCCAATTTGCAGATGAAGAAAATTTTCAAAAAAATTAAAAAGAAAATAAGGTGATTGTCTAAATTTGCAAATGACTATAACAAGTCCAGCGAGATTTTACTTCGAAAGAAGATCTCTTATAGTGGCATCATATTTCGGATGGTGTGCTTTTTCATTAAGCACTGATTGTTCCTGGTAGACTTTCCGATTCGAGTTTTCCTGGTAACTTCTATTAAGTTTTAGAGTTGGTGCCAAACAGGGGCGGATCCAGCTTTAAATTCCGGGAGGGTGGGGGGTGGGGGGGGCTATGTAGAAAAAATACAGTCTTCTGTTGTCTATGAAATTAGAAAAATTATCGTCGTTTTGTGCAAGGGTGGCGTAAGATTATGTCAAAATTTAATGTTTTCCGTCCCGTTTTTGCTCATATCTCGGAGACAAAATGAGCAAGAACGCTCATTTGTACATCATTCTAGACAGAAATAAATGGCCTTTTTAGAAAGT